TATTATTATTATTAGGGCTCCATATGTTAGCGAAATCCAGCATTTATACAAGCTTTAGGAGTGTCATCGATTTATACAATATTTAGCACTTTCTAAAACCTTATAATTTCCATGTCCAGCATTTTTGTTCGAATTGAGTCATTAATGTCCTACTACAGATTAACCTTCCTTAGCTAATACAGCCCGTCGAATAACTTTTGATAAAGTACAGCTCGCGTTTGATAAGGGGACTTCTAAACAGGTCACTAAATGTGGTAAATGTGTCGATGAGAGGTAATTGCTGAGAAATACCCCCACGCATAAGACTTTCTTATTAAAATAATTTCATAAAAAGTAAAGTAGGTCTATTGATACTAATGAAATGGAATAGAAACCTGGATTGGTGGACTACCAACTCTTAGAGAGGGCTTTTAATATGTGCAAGATTTTCTATGTTTTCCAAATTCTAAATAGATACATAGTCACTATTTTGTGGAGAGCTTCTATTCGTTGAAATCCAATAGATTGATAACGACAGATCCTAGTTGCTTTCTAGATCTTTTCCATTCTTTTCAAAGTAGCTTACGATAATTTTTGCGTGTATTTTATTATTAAAATACTCCGGATCAAATATGGATTGAGAACACTGAAGCACTTTTTCAAATAATATTTGATTCGTAGTGCACACCGAAATTATCAGAAGAGGATGTTAAAGAAGTACAAAAAGTAGAAAAAGCCCACTGTGCTCAGTTTGAACCAAACGTCGAGGTGTTGGTGGATGCCGTAAAGATTAGAATGCTGAGATTGTAATTTTTTTTCGAAAGATTTCAGAATTGTAAAACCAATGTTCAATTGTGCAAAACCAGTTAAAAGCGCTTGTGCGGCATTTTGCCACGCAATAGCAGGGTTTCTCGAAGAACAAGTTGTCTAACAATTATCCCAATTAAAACAAACGAAATATTATTTGCTCAGCACCCCAATCAGGTTTAAATAAAGGTTCATTCTGCATTAGCCGTCTACACAGTCAAAAGAAACAGCAGTTTTGCCTCATTTCAATACCTTATGCCCAAACCATTTTTGTCTGACTATCCACGAAACGGCGAATCCTCCAGACCGGTCGTATCGCCAACCGTGACTAGTGTCACGGTGGGCTGCAGCCTTTGACGACAGCGTGAACGAAGCTGCCTACTAGTTCTGGACCGCTATAAT